GGAGTCTCTCTCTTGCTCAAGTTGGTCTTGAACTTTTGAGCTCAAGTAATCCACCTATCTTAGCCTTCCAAGTGCTGGGATTACAGTTATGCACCACCACACTCAGCCTTTGTCACTTTTTGATGGAGTTTTCTTTTTTTCCTTAATGATTTGTTTGAGTACGTTGTAGATTTTGGACTTTAGTCCTTTGTTAGATGTGTAGTTTGTGAGTATTTTCTCACTTTCTGTTGGTTGCTGTTCACTTTGTTGATTATATCCTTTGTTGTACAAAAGCTTCTACTAAAAAAAAAAAATCCAGGCATTGTGGAGTGTGCCCACAGTCCCATCTTACTCAGGAGGAGGAGGAGGCTGAGGTAAGATGATCGATCACTTGAGCCCAAGAGAATTTGGCATTGCTGTGAGGTATGATGACACCGTAGCACTCTACTTAGGGCCACAGAATGAAACTCAGTCTCAAAAAAACAAAAAACAAGCAAACAAACAAACAAAGAAAACCTTTGCTCTATGTTGAATTAATTTTTGCATGTGATGAGAGATAAGGCTCCAGTTTCATTCTTTTGTATCTGTCCAATTTTCTAAGCATCATTCATTGAATAGGGCTTCCTTTTTTTAGTATATGTTATTTGTTTTATCAAAGATCATTTGGTTATAGCTGTATGGTTTATTTCTAGGTTCTTTATTCTGTTCCATTGGTCTATTCATCTACTTTTATGCCAGTACCATGCTGTTTTGGTTATTGTAGTCTTGTATAATTTGTAGTAAGGTAATGTGATGCCTTCAGATTTGTTCTTTGATTTGTTCTTTCTGCTTTTTTTGCTTTGGCTATTTGTTTCTGAATAAAACAGGGTTTAATTTTCCAGATCTGTGAATTATAATAATGTTGGTATCTTAATGGGAATTGCATTGAATCTGTAAATCACTTTGGGCAGTGTGGACATTTTAATGATGTTGATTATGACAATCCATGAGCAAGGGATTTTTCCGTGTGTTTGTATTCTAATTTCTTTCATCAGTGTTTTGTAGTTCTTATGGACTATACCTCCTCAGTTAAGTATATTCCTAGGTGTTTTGTCTTCTTTGTAGCTATTATGAATGGTATTGAGTCTCTGATTTGACTCTGTTGCTAGTTTATAAAAATGCCGATTACATTGATTTTTGTAACCAGAGACCATACTGGATTTATTTATCAATTTATTTATCCATGATGGATTAGGGTTTTTGAGATAGAAGATTGTATCTTTTTTTTTTTTTTTTTTTTTTTTTTTTTTGAGACAGAGCCCCCAGCTGCCCCCCTGGGTAGAGTGTCGTGGCATTACAGCTCACAGCAACCTCCAACTCCTGGGCTCAAGCAAGTCTCCTGCCTCCGCCTCCCAAGTAGCTGGGACCACAGGCGCCCGCCACAACGCCCGGCTATTTTTTGGTTGCAGCCGTCATTGTTGTTTGGCGGGTCCAGGCTGGGGATTTAAACCCACCACCTTAGGTGTACGTGGCTGGCACCTTAGCCTCTTGAGCTATAGGCGCCGAGCCAGAAGATTGTATCTTGAACAACCATTTTGACTCTGTCTTTCCCAATTTGGATGCCCTTTATTTCTTTCTCTTCTCTGACTGCTCTGCTAGAACTTTTGATAATGCGTTGCTAGAAGTGGTTACAGTGTGCAACCTTGTCTTGTTCCAGTTCTTAGGGGGAATGTTTTCTGCTTTTCCCCATTCAGTATGATGTTAGCTGTGAGTTTGGCATATATGGCTTTTATAATTTTGAGGTATGTTTCATCTGTGCCTAGCTTATTGAAGGGCACAGAAAGGGCTTTTTATCATGAAAGGGCTTTTATTAGATTTTTTTCTGTGTTTGTTGAGAAGATCATATAGTCTCTATTTTTATTTAATTCTGTTTATGTGGTGAATCATGTTTAATGATTTATATATGGTGAACCAGCCTTGCAGCCTTGGGATAAAACTCACTTGATAATGGTGGATTATCTTTTTGATGAGCGGTTGAATTCAGTTTGCTAGCATATTGTTAGGATATTCATAAGGTATATTGGCCTGTAGCTTGCTTTTTGGTTGTGCCATTTTCTGGCTTTCAGGGTGATACTGGGTTCATAGAATGAGCTGTAAGGATTTCTTCCTTTGCAAATGTTATGTAATAATTTCTGTAGAATAGGTACCTGTTCTTTATGGGTCTGGTAGAATTCAACTGTGAATCTTTCTGGTCTGAGGCTTTTCTTGTTGTTTGGAAATGTTTTATTTCTGCTTTGATTTTGATGCTTGTTAATTGGTATGTTTAGAATGTATTTCTTCCTAATTCAGTCTTGGGAGGTTGTGTTTTCAGAAATCTATCCATTTTTCCTCTAGGGTTTCTAGTTTATTTGCATAAATGTTTTTCATAGTATTCATGGATGATGTTTTATATTTCTGTATTATCAATTTTAATGTCTCCTTCATGTCTGATGGAATTTATCTGAATCTTTTTCATTTCTGAGCTAATCTGGCTAGTTGTCTCAT